TCTGGCGACAGGTAAGTCACCAGAATCGCTTCTGTTGTAAAGCCGACAGTCAGCTCTACAAGTTTAAACAGACTCCCGGCGGCAAAAGTCGCCGGGAGTCTGTTTAAACAGCCCCGATGCTGGCGACGTACACTGTACGTCGTCAGTCACGAAGGGGGAAACTTTTTTTTTTATATCTGGCTATTATTCTCTGGGGTACAGAATTATATGAGCTGAAAACATGAAAAACACTACCGTATGTAATTTATATTGTAGAATTTCTTCTTAGCAAACCACATGTAAACATAAACTTGCTATTAATCTGCTATCACCAATCACAGCATGAAACATCTGCACTTTTAACTTGTATACAAAGTTATGCACCAGATGGCAAATATACATCCATTACACATTATGTAGCATTGTATTAGCTGTTACTATGACCTTTGCTAGACCATTAATAAGACAAGTAAGTCATGTTGTACTTTTATAAGATTGTATTTGGTATTTTCACAAAGGCAGAGGGGAGAGAATAATTGGTAATCTGGCAGCCCGTATTAGCCAGTGGGCCGTTTGTGATTACCAATCTCTTTGGGCTAAAGAGCTGGCTTGATTCATAGGATAATTAAAGTATATATATTTTTTCATTTTGGATAGATAACATCCATGCCAGTTTTTTTCTTGCCATTCATAATGAGCTTAGCAAAATGAGCTCACTTACATAGGTGTGCGCTGCTGCACTCTGCATGAAAAGGATGAGTTGATGACTGTCCACAAATAACAACTGATTCCTTTGGTGGGAATGACCAGACCCACACAAGATTACCTGTTCACCTCTCATGTGCTAAATGAACTGGACAATATACACTAGGTGGGATCACCACAGCTTCTACATGTGGTCTACATGCAAGCAGTGTGTGGCCCCGGCCACCACCCCTTTTATCGACAGAAGTCAATTTATTGATCGAAATTTGGCATTGCTGCTGTCAAAATACAATAGCCTGATGGGGTGGGTTTTTTTCACCAATGCTGTTTAGCATCGATAGTGGAACCAGGTGTTTTTACTTGATTAGCCCCGTGGTGATTTTATGACCAGTGAGCTAGAAAATAGCAACCCCCCTCCCTTCTCAGGATCCAGATGAGAAGTTATGTAAAGTTATATAGATTCCCTCCTTCTGCTAGTTCCAGAATTTCTAATGACAGTGATCAGAGTTCCAACTCAAAGAGGAAACAATATCATAAATCAGAACCAAAAAGTTTTTTTGAACACCCCAGTACTGTTGAAACCAAATTTATGTTCAGTGGTGGACAAAGCCACCAAAGGTTCACTGTGCAAGAATAATTGTCAGAACCCACATTTAACTGCTGCCCAATCATCAACACTGTTTCACTGTGTATAGGCAGACAGATAGCTAGGCAACTAGATACACAGACAGAGGCAGATGAAGAGTAGCATTTGAGGTGTCCTAAACAATCTCATGGTCCATAATATGCAACTTGGGTCAGACAGTTGCTGGTCAAGTAGGAAGGGAAGGGGGTACTCACTGCTCAACCCCACTTACAAACCAGGAGCACAGTAAGGGTACCATGTAAAATGTGCCCTGCTTCTTAACTGTTCTAGAATTGAGCAGTGACTAGGTCTATAAAACAGTGGGAGGGTTTCCAGCATCCACCCAATCAAGCCTTGTATAAATGGGCCACTAAGTTTAAAAGGGGGTCTCCACAAATGGTATATACACCACTGCTTCTCCTAAAAGCTCTGAGATACCCATCAGTAGCTCTGGGCTGACTATTTTGGAACCCAGCTGCAGTATAGGGTGACAATTGGGGCCCGTCCAAGGGCAAGATCTGTGCTCAGGCAGAGGCAATAATTGGAAGGCTCTCTTTGAAAGTTCCCCTTTAAAAGAACCCCCTTGCAGCTGTGGTTAAATCAGGATACATTACCAATCTACATAAATTCCATGTTTCCTATACCTAAAATATGTGATTCAGATCTCCTCCCTGGTAATATCTCTTTCACATGCTAGAAAATGAAAAGATGAAGAGCCAACTCTGGTGATTACGAAGGCCAACTTTAGCATTTCTGGGAAACTTTCTTGATAAATTATACACATATGCAGTTTTTCTCTCCAAAATATCTTGGCTACAAACAAGTTACTGCTTTATACAAATCAAACTTGGGTTTTTTTTGTTGCAGGCTAGGAAGTAGAAAGGGAGAGGGGATGTTAAAATGGGATGCACAAGAATTATACTGAACGGCAAAATTATATATAATCTGACTAAGTAAGCAGCATTCAACATCTAATAAAAAAGACATAATAACATATTATGCTGAAGTGGTTTTATTCTGAATGACTGATTTATTTAGAATGGAGTTTAAAAAAAAAATCAAACTTAACAATGGTGTCTAATAACATGGCAAGTAGGATTAAGCATTGCAATTTACTATGGTAGTCTGCCTTTATAGCTAGGCAAATATGTGCTGACTGTAAAGTATGAAATATCTGACAACTGGAGAGCTTTGGTTATTGGTGACCTATCCTATAAACATCAAGAGGAAAACGTACAAACCCATTTTTCTTTTTAACAGCAAAATGACTGTACTTGGACAGGATTCTTTATACTTTTCATCAGATAGCCATGTGAAAGTGATGCACTTATATTTATTACTGATTTAATGAAAACTATTTTAATCCACACTGATGATGAAATCTATCAGAAAGGGACAGTCCAGTCATGTGTCAACTGCCTATAATATTTGAGGAATGACAGAAGCAGTCATTCAAGAGCTGCTACATCTTCACTATTGGCCAATCAATATCCAATTGGACATTTTTTACCTTGAGGCCAGGTTCACACCTAGGCGATTGAGCTGGTGAGCTGTTTTCGTGTGGTCGTCGCACGTTTTTGTTTGCGTGATTTTGCTCTGAAAACCGCGCTGTTTTAAATGCTTAGAGATGTCTATAGGACTCAAACCGCGACGAATAGCTCCTACAGCTTTTGCGCGACATGCGATTTCTACCTCGTGACAAATCGCAAAGGTGTGGAAAGCTTCCATATACTTGAATGCAAATCTCTGTTTTGTGCGCTATCGTGCGGCTAAATCCGGGCAGTAAATCACCTAGGTGTGAACCTAAGCTGGGTTAAGCCCATACATGGGTAGTTTTTCAGTATAAATAAACAAATAAATTAATTCAGCAGGGGAAGACACATCCCTTATTATCCTCATCTTTGAGGAATTGTTGTAATTCAGCCACATTGGAAGGTTTTCGAGCATGAACCACCTTTTTAAGGTCATGCCACAGCATCTCAATAGGATTCAGGTCAGGACTTTGACTAGGCCACTCCAAAGTCTTCATTTTCTTTTTCTTCAGCCATTTAGGAGGTGGACTTGCTCGTGTGTTTTGGATCATTGTCCTGCTGCAGAACCCAAGTTCGTTTCAGCTTGAGGTCACGAACAGATGGTTGCACATTATCCTTCAGGATTTTTTGGTAGACAGCAGAATTCATGGTTCCATTTATCACAGCAAGTCTTCCAGGTCCTGAAGCATCAAAACAGCCCCAGACCATCACACTATCACCACCATATTTTACTATTGGCATGATGTTCTTTTTCTGAAATGCGGTGTTACTCTTACGCCAGATGTAATGGGACACACACCTTCCAAAAAGTTCAACTTTTGTCTCGTCAGTCCACAGAGTAGTTTCCCTTGGGGAAGTCTTATGGATCATCAAGATGTTTTCTGGCATAACAGAGACGAGCTTTTATGTTCTTTTTGCTCAGCAGCGATTTTCGTCCTGGAACTCTGCCATGCAGGCCATTTTTGCCCAGTCTCTTTCTTATGGTGGAGTCATGAACACTGACCTGAACGGAGGCAAGTGAGGCCTGCAGTTCTTTGGATGTTGTTGTGGGGTCTTTTGTGACCTCTTGGATGAGTCGTCGTTGCGCTCTTGGGGTAATTTTGGTTGGCCGCCCACTCCTGGGAAGGTTCACCACTGTTCCATGTTTTTGCCACTTTTGGATAATGGCTCTCACTGTGGTTCGCTGGAGTCCCAAAGCTTTAGAAATGGCTTTATAACCTTTTCCAGACTAATAGATCTCAATTACTTTCTTTCTCATTTGTTCCTGGATTTCTTTGGATCTCGACATGATGTGTAGCTTTTAAAGATCTTTTGGTCTACTTTACTTGTCAGTCAAGTCTTATTTTAAGTGATTTCTTGATTGCGAACAGGTGTGGCAGTAATCAGGCCTGGGTGTGGCTAGAGAAATTGAACTCCGGTGTGATAAACCAGAGTTAAGTTATGTTCTAACAGGGGGGACACAAACACTTTTTCACACAGGGCCATGTGGGTTCGGATTTTGTTTTCCCTTATTAATTAAAACCTTCCTTTAAAAACTGCATGTTGTGTTTACTTGTGTTATCTTTGACTAATATTTACATTTGTTTGATGATTTGAAACATTAAAGTGTGACAAACTTGCAAAACAATGAAAAATCAGGAAGGGGACCAACACTTTTTCACACAACTGTATATATATACATACATACACACACGCACACACAGTATATGTAGACACACTGATATATGTATGTATATGTACACTGAGTATGTTTTCTTTAAATGCCATATTAAATAGACATACCAGAATACAGGACTGCTATGGGACCTAAACACACAGAGATTAGTACTCATTGGTTGCATAATGTTTCATTCAGACAACAACAAATATTCTTTAAAGAATCTAAATCAATGAATAGGCGGTGATTTGTTAATAATTTCATAAGTCTTAGTAATGGGCTTGCCTTAAGGATAAGGGTTTGTTTACAATAGCCACATGTCAAGGGTTTATTTTCATTAGATTTTTCATATTAGCCTGCACCCTAAAACTGAGCTAGTGTGGTGTGACATGTACAATGGATCGGCGGTGTGATGCACTGTTCCCACTCCATCCTGATCTCCTGCTGTAGCCCTGATTTTAATCGTTGAGCATCCTGGAAGAAGGTCAAATACTCCCCCATACATGGAAAAACTGGGTATTTCTGTAGGCTCTGACAGATAAATGAAGCAGTAGAGGAGCATGGCAAAATTTATCATGTAGGGAAAGGGTGTTATTAGGAAAAACTGTCACTTTATGGTAAAAGACGGATTCTCTTTAAGAGGAGCCAACACATACAGTTACATTCCTAAACACATCAGCGTAATGGTACCTTTCTGTAGTGCTTTTGGCTGACTGAAGGAAGCGTGCATGGTCTGCCTCTTTCAGAGATTGCTCCGCCTGAGATATGAGGGACGTGGATCGTTCTATGCATTGCTTGCAGTTGCCAATCTGCTGGGCTAGCTTCCGCAGCCGGACCACCTAAAATAAAGGGAGAATTAAAAGTTAAAAGTGTAAGTTTAGGTATACATAAAAAAAAACCCTGGTAAATCCAGTGATGTGATTATTAAAAAAAATATTTAAGAGTATTTTAAATAGTACAAGAGATTGCTTAGCAGCAGAGGAAAAGGGGGCACTGTAAGCCAATAAGACTTTACTACATTGCACAGTGCAATAAATATATCAAATGAAGACTGATGATTGAAGGAGAAAGCACAGAGATGAGCTAAGCTACTTTACTGTCCAATAACAGTTTTGACCAAGAGCTATTACTTTGACTGCAGTGGCATAAAGCAAATGATCAAGAGGACAAAATGCCGAAAGTGCCATCTTTCAGCCAAAATTGCAGTGCATGCCTAGTTTCTCTACTTCCCACTGGGCGCTGCCCTGTGTCCCCTTTGTGGAGGAGAGCGATGTGAGCGTGTCACAGGAGGAGCTCTCCTCCCGCATTGCCCCACTCAGCCTCCTGTAACAGATCAAGAGAGTGCTGTGTGGGCAGATACAGCTGACAGCTGTCACAGAAGGCCTAGCCGGCATTGAGGGGGAGGAGTCAGTTGTCAAATGAGACCGAGCTCTCCTCCCCACACCGCCCACTAAGCCTCCTGTGAGAGCAAATCCAGGATGGAAAGCAGTATACAAACACTCAGTGATCGCTGAATGTTTGCAAATAATTGGACATAGTATGAGTTACTATGTACCAGTTATGAATAAATAGTGATCACATCACTTCCTATTCCTTCACAATTATTTACATAGTAACTCATACTATATCCACAATTTATAAATGAATAGGAACACTCAGTACAGTATAGAACATTCCTGTTCATTCAGTGCTGGGGCTGCAGACTCTGTCCTCAATCTCTTTTTCTATTGTAAAATGGAAAAATCAGAAGTCTGTTTAGACCAGGGGTCTCAAAGAACCGGCCCGCGGGCCAACTCCGGCCCGCGAGCCGGTACTATGTGGCCCAAAGCCAGCTGACAAGTCAGGCACACGGTCACGGACCGCGTGCCTGACTTGCGGGAGACATTCCTGTGTCATAAACTTGTGTTTTTCTGCACACAAATCCCTAATCTGGCATTTACGTACAGCAACTGTCACCCATTCAAGTTAATGATCAGGTGACAGCTGCTGCATGTAAACGCCTGCACACCGCATGTAAAGGAATTGTGAAAGTGAAAGGATTACATGCAGTTAGGAATTAATCACTATCCCTGGATACACAACCGTGTATCCAGGGATAGTGATTATTTTTGTAACTGCATGTAATCGCATCACATATGATTACATGCGGTGTGCAGGCGTTTACATGCAGCAGTGTCACCTGATCATTAACTTGAATGGGCGATAGTTGCCGCTTGTAACATGTGCAGACTAACAAAAATTTGTCCAGTGGCCCCCGAGTAAATTGATTTTGAGACCCCAGGTTTAGACCCTCGATATTTGAATGAAGCCCCCAGCAGTAAAGTTTTTTAAAAAAATTAAAAATATAAAAACATTTAAAAGTTTAGAAAATAAATAAATAAAAAATTTTTTAAAAATGTAAAAAGGTTAAAACAATAATTTTTGGTTTCTGTCTCAAAATTTTCATTTCGGCGCACCTTTAGTTCATATATGTATTTAATGTATGTATTTAGGTGTTTGCCTACATTTATACTTCAGTGCATGCAAACCACATCTATGACACCCACGTCTTTGGTCTCTTGTCTTTATTCATATAATATGAAAGAAAAATGCCAAAACCCATTATTGGTTAGAGTCTGTTACAGTAAATATTTTGCTTGGAACTCTGTGCCATCTACACAGCAAGGAACGTGACAGTGAGACTATACAGCACACACTATAACGTACACACTGCTACCTACACAGCTTGCTGTTTTGCAGCACTGTGCCACAAGCACCTTTCAAGTCATTTAGTCCAGGAAGAGTTGATCTAGTGCGACCTAAATTACACACAAGGCCAAAATGTTTTTTTTACCATGGGATAGAGTAGCAAGGGATCAGAATCCCTTTTGAGCTTTTATTAAGTGAAAATCTAATATGTTTTCAGTTATCACCACAACAGGAATAGAGTGGAAATCTATCAAGAGGGACATTTGTTCTATTGGCAACTTTCTAAGAGGGGAGTTCCCTTACTTTAGAGAGATGTCCTCTAACTTCCTGTTGTATCTTCAGGACAGGAAGTGAAGGGAAATCTTTCAAATGGGACACAGATTGCAAAAGAACAGCAGGGCTTTTAGCCATTCCATACTCAATCCAAAAAACATTTTGGCTTTAGATATACTTTAAATTGCCAGTTACACTGACCATTTTGACATATAAGCCTTTGGCTAAATGCAGTTGCTAAGATGAAAAGATTGACAACAGCCAAACTGATTCATATTTATTTTATACGCCGATCAGCCATAACATTATGACCACCATTCTAATATTGAGTAGGTTCCCTTTTGCCTCAAAAACCGCCCTGACCCATCAAGGCATAGGGGTTGATTTGCTAAAGGCAAATAGGCTGCAAGGGAACTTGCACTTTCCAGGGGAAGTTTCCCTTAATATAGGGAATGTGGTAAGTTTTCACTTTGTAAATAATATCCCATCATGAGCAAGGAAAATTTTTTTAAAAAACAGTATTTTTGCTTGCAGACAATTGAGTGATGGAAATCAGAGGAACTTCACCTCGTTCAACAAACTAGGGGGCAACTCCCCCTGCAAAGTTCAAATTCCCTTGCAAAGTGAAAAGTCTATTTGCCTTTAGTAAATCAACCCCCATGGACTCAATGAGACCTGTGAAGGTATGCGATGGTATCTGGCACTAAGCCGTCAACAGTGGATCATTTAACTCCTATATGTTGGGAGGTGGGGCCTCCATAGATCTGCGTTTTTCCAGCACAGATGCTCGATTGGGTGTAGATCTGAAGAATTCAGAGGCCAAGTTTACACCTCAAACTTTTTGTTGGTTCCTCAAACCATTCCTGAACCAGTATTTCAGTGTGGCATGGCACATTATCCTACTGGATAAGGGGCCACTGCTATCAGGGAATACAGTTTCCATGAAGGGGTTCCACTTGGTCAGCAACAATCTTTAGGTAGTTGGTCGGCATCAAAGTAACATCCACATGAGTGGCAGGTCCCAATATTTCCCAGCAGAACATTGCCCAAAGCATCACACTGCCTCCGCTGGCTAGCCTTCCTCAGATCAGCGACACACACCTGGCCATCCACATGATGTAAAACAAAATGTGATTAATCAGACCACCTTCTTCCATTGCTCCATGGTCCAGTTCTGATGCTCATGTGTCCATTGTATGTGCTTTTGGCATTGGACAGGGGTCAGCATGGGCACCCTGACCGGTATGTAGCCTCATACACAACAAACTGCAATGTACTGTGTGTTCAGACACCTTTTTATCAGAACCAGCAGAACGTTTTCAGCAATCTGAGCTACAGTAGCTCCTCTTTAGTATGACAAGCCAGCATTTGCTCCACAAGTGCATCAATGAGCCTTGGCCGCCCATGACCCTGTCACCAGTTCACCGGTTTTTCCTTCTTTGGACCACTTTTGGTAGGTCCTGACCACTGCAGACTGGGAACATCCCACAAGGGCTGCAGTTTTGTAGTTTCTCTGACCCAGTTGTATGGCCATCACAATTTGGCCCTTGTCAAAGGTCGCTCCAATCCTTACGCTTGCCCATTTTTTTTGCTTCCAAAACATCAACTTCAAAGACAAAATGTTCACTTGCTGCCAATATATCCCAGCCACTTCCAGGTGCCATTGTAACGGGATAATGTTATTCACTTAATCTCTCAGTGGTCATAATGTTATTGCTGATCGGTGTGTATATGTGGATGCACAAGACACTAAAAAAGTTGATATGCTTCATTCATGAGAAACAAGGCAAGTAAGGTAAGTAAGACTATGGGGTCTATTCACAAAGCTGCCGAAGGATCTGGCCGTAGCTTCGGCCGATCCTTCGGAAACTTCTAAGCTCAGTGAAATGTGTGATTTGTAGGTTACTCGCATTAAAATTCTAATACACCACGGAGTATTACATAATCTGTTTAGATAATGAGAGTTTAGCTAGTTACGTGAGAAGTCAAACACAAAACGGCCCCACAGCATGGTTCGCCGGGCTGTGTGGGAGTTCATGTTTAAGTGTCATTTTGGCAGTAATGCCTTTTCAAACATTAACATTCACATTATTAATAATTCTTAGATTTCTGTGACAGCAAAAATAAGAGGCTGACAGTCTCACAGGCCTGTCTCGAAGCAGAGGAACATTTCTCAAATACATAACAGCAATTATAATTCCATTGTTAAGCGGAAAGATTAGTCTATAGCCTGCCAATTTCGCCAAAAACATAAGAGCCAAAACAAGCACAGCTGGCCTATTACCCTCTGCAATTCACATAATTTCCTGACCGATGAGATAACAAAATGTTTGATAACTAGAATTGCTGAGAGCAGATGTGGAAGTGCTTTTATTTGTTAAATTGTGTGTTGTTCTGGTCTATTAAGATATAAAACATACTTTTACTTTACTATTTGACTCTTTGCAACATTGTACAACATGTATATATTATGCTTACTCTGTATTGGCACCAGGAAGCCAATATGAATGGTATATAGTGGGGTAGCAAAACTTCCGCAATCCAACTATGGTGAAACTACAAATCCCATAAGGCACTGCAGGACTGTGATAGTCACAAACATAACTTCCAAAGGGGATGCTGGGATTTGTAGTATCACCACAGATGGAGGGACAAAGTTTGGCTACCCCTGCTATAAAGAATGTTTGTAGTATCTAAAGTAACAACCTTAGAACTCATCACCTATGCCTGTGGTGTTTAAACGCAAGGCTCTTGGGTTGCAATTGGTGCACCATTATTATGATCCTCAAAAACATATTATTGTCAATTAAATTAAAATATATTTAAAGTGCAAACTTGTTATCTTCATTTTGGATAGAATAGAGAATGGTTAAATCCC